CGCAAAACGGCCGTCAAGCCGCGCGGGGGCGGGGCTTCGGCCGGCGCGGCCTGACCCGAGGCGACCTCCCTCGCCGCGCACGCGCTCTGCTCCCGAGCCCGCCCGTGCCGCCTTCCCCGGCCGCGCACGCGCTCTGCTCCCCAGGCCGTTCGTGGCGCCCTCCCCGGCGGCGGCGGCTGCGGCTGCCTTTGCGGCGCTGGGCGGCCGGGCGGCTTCGCGCAACGAAGCCTTCCGATGGCGGGCCGTTTTGTTCCTGTTTATTTTGCACTTTTCTGCCGCCTGGGAATTGTCCCACGGGGTGGTGCATCGGATTTAGAGCCAGCTGTTAGGGCTTTGCCCGAGGAATTCTGGGAACTGTAGTCGGAGTAGGGGCTGAAAAGACCATGGGATCGGTTCCCAACCCGGGCGACTTTCAGACATCTGGACCTCAACTCCCAGGATTCCCCAGGCTGCCAAGATGGCTAGCGCGGGGTTCCTCAACCTTGGCCGCTTTAAGACGGGTGGACTTCAACTCCCAGAATTCCCCAGCCTACTGCAGTAGAGTGGTAAGCCCCCTTTTTGGGGTTCCCTCTCTGGGCTTCCCCGACTGTTTGGCCTCCAGATGTGCTGGTCTCTCCCTCCCTGCCCCTGCCAGCTTAGCAAATGAACAAAACTGGGGAAGGCACTCGAGGCTGCAAGGCCCACTCCCTAAGCCTGCTCTCCTGCTGGATAAAAAGCCCATCATTCTCAGCCGGGTTGGCCCAAGGATTAAGATTCGTTCCAGTCCAACCCATCTCGAGGACAGACAGGTTGGGGATGGTGCCAAGGGAGAGCCAATGATGCGAAACCAGTCACGCGGCACTGTTTGTGTTATTTCAGGAACAAAGTTCAGAGACACAGATTAAAGAAAATGAGTTTCGTTTTATGGAAATAAAAGATGCAAATTTGGTCATAAAACACCTTTCCAATTCTTTTCCCCCTATTTTCCCCTTTCTGGCAATAAGCCACAGGATAAGGAAGTACTAATTCAATTTAAACTTAAATAAAATATGTTCTTTTAAAAAAGGTACAGTTTTGACCTTAAAGCACATCTCTTGCTGAAATAAACTTTTTTTAAAGTAACAGTGACTCCATGCTATCTCTTTGCAACCCACTAAATTCATGCAACAGCAAAACCAGTCACAAAGAAGTATTTTTTCAGGAATAACATCCCCCTGCCCACTGATAAACTGTCACTCCCAAAAGCCAGCTTTAAAGTTCCTATTTTGAACAGCAAGGATCGGACTCAAAGGCTTAACGCAGGTACAGAGGGTAACGAACGCAGGCATTCAAAAGGCACTACTGCTCTTCTGTACACGGAGGACAAGCATATACACCTTGTCTCTACAATAAACAACAGGCAAAATAGAAAACCACCGGGGACGTAACATACCTTCATAGCAAAATAAAGCTAATTATGGGAGCCATACGAGTTGGCATGAACAGGAAGCCCATATAAAGCCTTTTTGCATTTCCTAGAAAAATGGATAAAATACAATGTGCGGAAATATACAGGGAAAAAAACACTCGCACAGGTATAAAAATAGACACTGTCCTTGTTCAACAATGATGTAAACCAATACAAAATGATTCCAAGAAACAGGAACAAGTTTACCCAAAGGACATGTTCAAATCTATAAAATGATCAAAGACACCATTTCTTTTTTCAGTTTCAGCCTCCCGCAAAAAGGTCACAGGCTGCTGGACAGGCGGGCGCTCATCCCGACGGCCGGGGCATGCCAGCAGCCACGCGGGCTTCGGGACCTGGGGCCGCGGCGTTCGGGAGGGTGGAGCGGCAAGCAACCAATGCGGCGACACGCTGGGGTGCCTAAAGCGAATTCCGGGGTTCGCTGGGCCCCGCTGGCTTTTCATTCAAGCAGGGCCGAGGATGTGAAAACAGGGTACTTCCCCATTCCTGGTTCAGCCTTTTAGACCCCAAAACAGGCAGAGAGTACTGAAGGAAAAGTACCGTGCCGTCACGGCTTCTGCACGGGGTGGGCAGGTCATGTCACACGCATGACGTCACAATGGCCTCTTACAGAGTCTAAGCTTGTGATGACTTCGGTCTACTGACTGGCTCATAAGAAACTACGGTAATTGAGGCTTGTACAGAATAATTGCAAACGCTCCGTGTATCCAAACATTCCCCCCAAACACTCCATCTGTCCAGGCATGCTTTCCTACGAAGCTGACAAGGAATACTGGATCATGTATCTCCAAACTCTGTACAAACTCTAGTTATCCACAAAGCACGTGTTCTGTACTTTTCATGTCTGAGGTCTGGCTGGTGCAGTTCTCTGCTTATAGCTCCTGGAGTAGCTCAGGTCACCAGCTGGCTGATTCCTGAAGCTAAACCCCCAGGTTTGCACACCATTGCAAAAGGGGGGGGGGGGGGTGGAGCACTGGTGGGCAAAACTAATATTCTGCTTGAGGCAAACAAGGCAGATGAGTTATTTTCTGTAAGCAGAAGAGCCAGCAGGGCAAAAAGCCACCCTACAATTGCTGGGGTTGTGTGCAACAGCTTCAGATCACAGACCTTCTAGAAATCTTGTTGTAATGCCCTTGTGGAAGTTTATCTGATGAAAGTTTAACATACACCACACCTCTTAGCTGCCCATCTCGGTTGATAAGGCCGATGGGAAAAGAAATTAGCTACTGGGTGCAAAAATCAATGTTATGGATTCAAACCAAGCTATGGAAAACCAGAGATGCCTGCCTTCCCCCCAATGCTGGTGGTGATGACTTAATCAAAAAACCCCCCAGAGGGAAAGGAGGACAGAGAACATCGTGTTGTGCCAACCGGTCCCTGTCAAAACAGAGATGTGGAGCTTGGGGTCTTCTTCCCAATGCAAAACCAGAAGGGGAACGTGGGCGGTGAAGCAAAGGGTAACCACATTTTTCACACAGACCCTCAAACAAAGTAAGGACAGTTTCAAGACCAGAATGCAAAACAATAAAAGCCGAAGTAATAATCCTGCCCCCTCCAACACAGTGCTGTCAAGTAGATCCTCTTTGATCTGGACCACAAGCTATTTGTCCTCTGGAGGAGATCTTGCTGGTGCCTGATGTTGCAGGAGAGGCTCCTGGGCACAGAGTTCCTTGGAAAAAATTGCTGGCAGGAGCTACAACAGCGCTGGAAAACAGTTTCTAGTTTTGGCCATCGCAAACGTGCAAATCTTCTTGTAATACTGTCCATCGCCGACGGAACTTCTCCAGATTATCAAAAGCAGCAGGATGGAACCGCAAAGACTCACATCTTTTAGGTCCATCCCTGACCGAATACAGAGGTGGCGCACTGAAAGCACTGAACGGGACAGCGTGTGGCTGTCATGCGCTGGACGTCCTTGCTCGAGGCCACAGCTCATCCCTGTTCCTTTCTTTTGGCAGTTTGAATCACACGTATCAACACTTGTGTGGGTTTTTTTGGGTCAGCATCTGGCACGTCCAGCAGCAGCCAGCGAAGATTTTAGTTCTCCCCGTGGTCCTCTTCCACCCACGCCACAATCTTCCCCTCCCACCCGGGAATAAGATCATCATCGTGGAAAACCTACAGGAAGAGCAAGAAGGACCTGAGTCAACAGACCATTATGCGGAGCAGCCCACGGCCACCGGCCACTAACTGGGAACTGGCCTGAAATCTCTCCTTAATCCTTCCCTCTCTAGGACAGGCACTGGGGTTGTTGCCACAATTCTTGCGAAACAGAATCTCACTCCTAACGCGATCCACGCTGATTCAAGACTCACAGCACTGCAGCTCTCTGGAGGGAAAGACAGAGCTGGCCCGCTTTTCTAGCTTGTTGCAAAGTTCTTGTTTTTCAGTGCTGCAAGGTATGATTCTTTGTGCTCACAGATGCACAGACACACACACTTTCCTGCCCCTTGGCTTTCACGCCATTGGTGAGAGCCAAGCACAAGCACTTACAGGGGAAGAAACATCCCCCAGTGCCGGGCAACTTCCACAGCCCGTCCAGAAGGGGCTGGTCCGAGGTGCCCCCTTACCTCCTCTTTGACGGTGCCAAACTCCGGATCCAGGGCTTTGAAGTGGTACCGGTGTGTCCCGTCCCGATCGATCGCTGCTTTGAAGTCCCTCAGCGTCACCTCTCCTAATCTGCAAGGCGCAAGAGGAGAGGAAGGCTGCTACCAGGCTGGGTGTCCGCCTGGGTGCTGGGAGGGGAATCCCACAGGGGTGCCAATTCTGGGGTCCCAGGGAGGGGATCCTGGGGTTGAGGGGTGGCTGGCTCACCTCTTTGGGATGCTGACCATGAAGGGGGTGAGGGAGCGATCCGTGAAGTACAGCACTTTGGTGCAGGCGCTGTTGCCCACGGCAGGGGTGCTGTGAGAATGAGGCAGTTCTGCCAAGAGAGGAAGACAGACTGAGCCACAGGGCAGCAAGAGGCCGCTTCTCTTCCGGCTGCACACTGTTCATTTCTGCAGCCTTTCTGAGCAGGCAGCCCAGACTTGTTCCCCCTGGACTACGAGAGGGAGCAGAGCGCAGCGGTCATTTCTGTAGTTCGCCACATTTTGAAATTCCGTTCGGGGCTGAAAAAGGAATCGTAAAATGAGCAGTTTGGGTGCAGATAATGTGGGGTTTTGTTTTTTGTTTTTTGGTTTTTTAAATGGGAAGGCTGAGCTAGAAAGAAATCAATATCCTTCGCTTGCAACCACAAGGGGAGGCAAGCAGAGGCTGCACTCCCGCCCAGGGCCACTAGGTGGCAGCTTATTTTCGGAAACCCACTTTGCAGCCCCCTTTCAGAATAGCCGACGGCTACCTGCTTCTTTTTCAATTAAGAAACAAAATTAAATTAAACATTAAAATTGTTTGGTATTGTTTCCTTCCTTTTAAATGTTTTTAACCACCTGTAAACCGCCCAGAGTCATTGGAAGACCGGCAGGGCATACTAGGTGTTCAGGAGGCCGTAATACCCAAAGATGTGGCAGATCCCTTTGTGCTCATCGCAGGATCCAGGCAGGCTGCTAAAAGCAAGCATGCACGATTTAAGAAAGAGGGAGGCTACGGCCGGCTGGCTGGCCGAGGGGAGCAGGAAAGCCTGCCCCGTTTTCCGAAAGTGGCGATGCCCGTGGGGCTCCTGAAGCCAGGCGCTTCCCAGAGGAGTACGGGACCCTCCCAAGTGCACTCACTGGAATTGGAAGGCCAGGATTCCCGGTATTCATTCACCGCATGGCCTGCGGGCGACTTCCCCCGGACCTGCACAAGGAAAGCGAGAGGGATGAGGGACAGACAGAGGAACGCTCAGGCCTGAGTGGAGCCCAAGAAGTACCGGAGGGGGGTCAAAAATGTCAAGACGGCGCCCACAACCATGCAACCAAAGCCCTGCTCCTGCCGGAGATGCGCGAGGCCTGGCCAGCGACTGGGTTCTCGCTGCTTGAACCAAGACCTGGCGCTCCCAGAGCCACCTAGAAGCCCCCAGCTACATTCATTTATTTATTTTATTGTATTTACCCTATTTCTATCGCCGCCCATCTCGCATAAAAGCAACTCTGGGCGGCGTACAACCATTAAAAAGAATAAATACATAAAACACCAATCGCAAGTAAAAATAACCGTAAAAGCACACAAAACAGGAGGGGATCGTATTGAGAAGGGAGCCATCGCAAAATCTCCCCAGTTCCCTGGGATCCCCAGGCCTGATCCCATAGCCAGGTCTTGAGGGACGTGCGGGAGGGTGAGAGGGATGGGGCGAACCTCACTTCTGGGGGGAGAAGATCCCACAAGGCGGGTGACACGGCAGAGAAGGCCCATCCCCTGGGACCCACCAAAGGGAGCCACCGTGAGGCTGTAACCACAGGCTGACTGGAAATTTGGGGAATGGCAAGTCCCCGGCACTCTGGATTAAAATGAAGGGTTATCAGGACTTGGGGTGGTTCTTCCGGGGTGCCCTCTGATGAAACACAAGAGGGTCTCCCAACATGGGGCCACTGGAGAGAAGATGGGTGGCCTGATGGACGGGTTGGCCTGATTCAAGGACTTTGCTTGAAACAAAGGCGCCACGTAGGGTTGTGACATCCACCCAGCTCTGCTAAAAGTGACCACCCGCAGCCACCCCAAGGAGCAAAACAGGGGGCATTAGGGGGAAAGCAAGCCCAGTAGCTCCTCTGAGCCCCTGATGCCAGACAGGAGCTGAGCTGTCTTCACAGCTCCAGGAGGAGGAAAATCCGGTGGGAAAAGCCAAGAGGTCCATCCGAGGCCAAGCGGCTGGCAGACCAGTCCTGCAAGCCAAGAGCAGAGACTCTTTTACGTGACAGGCCCTCCACACGGGTGTGCACTTCAAGCAGACCTCACACCCACCTCCATGGCAGGAGAAGGCACTCTAGACCGCAAGGACATTCACGGAGCCCACCTAAGCCCAGAGTAAGGGCTGCTTCTGGGAAGACACGCAAATTACGCGTTCCTCAGGGGCAGGAAGGCCAAAACACATCGAGCTGACCCGGAGAGGCCCCTTACCCTCTTCTCCTGCCGCTTCTGCACCTCCATGCGGTGCAGCCTCTCCATCAAGCTGGAGATGCCCTGCTCCAGGCTGTCGATGGTGTGGTGCTGGGGGTCGTGGCCGCTGAAGCTGTTCCGCAAACTGCGCAGGGCCTCGCGCACCAGCTGCAGGTCGCTGGTCTGCCAGGAGAGATCCGAAAGAAGCAGGCGGTGGTAGACGCCACCCACCCCAAGGCTCTGAGACCTCGCCCACCCCCAAAGCTTGCAAAGCCAAAGGGGCTCTCACAAGCCCTGGGAAAGGACCCCCGCCAGGCTTCAAAGTCAGAGCATAACATACCCCTCGGTGCGCTGTGGAAGCCGTTCCTTTTCCCAATGTCTGGAGGAAGCCGTTGCTCTGAGACCCATGGTTGCCATACACGATCACCTGCTTTGCGAGAGAGGAGAGAACCTGGGTCGCAAGGGCCTCCCGCTAGCAGAAGTTCTCAAGCTAGCTAAGGAGCTATATATGGCCGGCAGGCCCAGCGTTGTCTGTCACCACATTCTGCAGGTGACCTGGTGTGACCAAAGGATGCTTTTAGAGGAGCAGCGCGGATTTCGAGGCCCCTCTGCAATTCCGTTCTGCAAGGAACACCCCTCTCCCAAATAATTCAAGATATGACCCTCCTTCGTGAACAAGCTACGTCTTTGCTGGCCTGCACACCTGTCCTTTCCGAGAGGGAAACCGAGGGGATCAGCACTGACGGAGTCACTGTGACTTGCCCTTTTATAGCGCGCTGCACAATTAGAGGTTGGTGCAAAAGCAAACCCGGGTCACATCAGAGCACTACGAACCTCCTCCACGTCCTTCTTCAGGCAGCGAGCAAGCAGGGCCTCCTTGTGCTCCAGTTCTCGTTCCAGCTCGGCCTAGGAGGGAAGATGCCGATCAGCAAACGGGCACTACTGGAGGGGGAAGGAGGGAACGGGGAGGTGGGGGCAGCCCATACCTGCTGATAGCCTGCCTCGGAGAGCTGGCGCAGCATTTCCTCCATCTTGGCCTGGTGCTGGTGCAGGTGCCTGTCTTTCTGACTTAGCTCCTTCTGCAAGAGAGCGAGGATTGGGGCCGACAGCACGGGAAGGAGGCTCACCTCGGAGGGAGCAGCGTCTGGAGCTGCGCTCAGTGCAAAGGAGCTGCCTTGGGTCCTTCGCTGCTCAGCCCTCCATACGCTGTTGGGGGGCTACCCCAGCACGGTGGGGGGGGGCAGAACATGGACCAAGATCACTAGCTGAAGGGCAGGAGATCAGCTGTTTTAAGCACAGCAACCAGAAGTGGACAATGCTGCTGAAGGGAAAGTGGTTCGGGGCCAATGGGGCTGGATTTGACTGCATTTCTTTCTTTCTTTTAGAAATGCATGCATCTGATGACGACGCTGGAGAGCGTACCGTGAGAAGGACCATGAAATACAATGAAAAGCAAACAACCCAGACAGAAAGACCCCCATGGAAAGCAACCTTCACAAGGCGATCAGACACACCGCCCCCTCTAACGCAAGGCCTGGGGAGGGGACAGGGTTTCGGAGCTCCTCTGAACGTGGTCAGGGGCAAGCCAGGCCTATCTTGGGGGAGGGGGGCTGTTCCAGGGGGCAGAAGCTGCGACCCAGAAGGCATGAAAGACAGACTGCGCAGGAAGGTTGAGTGAGAGGCTGCCAAGGGTTTCCACTGCAGCAGCATGACTTCTGCGCCTGGCCATCTTGGTGGGGAGCCCTCTCTGGCCTGAAACTCAGCAAGCTGGAAGGAAGGGATTCCCTGGTCCCCTGGAAGTTGCAGGCTCCCAAGACCCTCCCTCAGCCCTGGAAGAGAGGAAGACCCCCTTACTTTATACTCTGCCAGAAGCCGGTTCCGCTCTTCCACCTTCCTCTGGAGATCAGCCTGCACAAGCAAGATGTGAACGCTGAGTTGGGAACGCAGCTCGCAACCCCAGGCTGGAGAACCCGGGCACAGATCCCAAGCCTGCCTTTCTGCTCCCTGGCCCAGCACCGGTGGGGGGCAACGCTGCCCCTCCCAAACCCTCCACAGGAGGAGCTCAGCTGTGAAACGGAGCCTTGCCTCCCTTCTCCTCCCCCTGGAGATGCCCGGACCCGAACCTGGGAAGACCTCCGTGCAAAGCAGCCCTCTCCTGTGCCCCAGACCCTCCATCTTCAGCAGAAGCAGCCCTCACCCTCCATCAGCAGGCCTGGCGGGCAGACCAAAGGACGCACTCACGTTCTGGCTGTGCAACTCCTCCTTGTCCAGGTTCGCTCTCAGCAGCTCCTGCTTCATCTGAAGCATCAGAGTGTCCTCCTGGGCCAGGCGCTGCTGCAGGGCATCCTGGGAAAATAAATGAACCACTTTCAAGGCTCCAAGCGCCCCCATTATCCACGCTAAAGGGTTGCCCACTTGCCCCTTTTCCTGTGGTTTTCACTGACCCATTTTGATCTCTTTGTCTAGGGCTGTTATTTATTTTTTTTAAGAGGTGACCCCAGCAAGTTCAATTAGACTGGCTTGGTTTTATTTACTTATTTCTTCGATTTCTAGCCTGTCACTCGAATTTTGCCCTGGATGACACCACTGATTAGAAAAAGCCAAGGCACCAAGCAGCAGAGGATTGTAGAGAGCTACGCATGAGCAAAAGACTCAGAGATGCTAAGACAAGATGTCAGACCGGAGAAAAGCTGCTGATCTTCCTGCGTATTTACGCTGTGGAGTTTCTTACAAGTAGTGAACCTTTTCTTTCACTCACTAAACCCAGAAAGGACTCTGATTCTTCCCGAATGGAGAAAAAGAAGGGGGCTTAAACACACCTCACGCAGAGTCACATCAGCCCTCTGGAAAGGGTGGTCCAGAAAAAGACCCAAACTTTTAAGACCTGCAATCTCTTGCTCCCAATATCCTGGATTTCTCATGAGCAGAAAGGAGGTTGGGAATCCTCAGAGATGATATTTAAGGCGACCTTCCCACAAGATGCAAAAGGCTTTGCTCAGAAGACCGTGGAACAGTACTTCTCAACCTCCTCAACTTGAAGACGGGTGGACTTCAACT